GCCATTGTCCTTCCATGAATGTCTTTCATTTGATTTTTAACCTATTTAGCATCCAGTACATGTTTTGGAAAATAACTATTAGATTTATTTACACATTGTCTGAAGAAGTAACTCCCTTATTTCAATCTATCTTTTGATACCATCATTCAAAGTCTTTGTATTCCTAGAAAAAAAAGCATTTATTTCCTCTTCATGATTTATTCCCTCACGGTTGTCCCATGGAAAAACTGTTCATCTGTATGGTTTAAAACAAGTCAGGAATAATTGGTTTATTTATTTATCTTGTCTGTATAGGTACATGGGTATTCTTTAGAGTGGAGCCTTTCAGAATCGTAGTAAAGAACACATAGGTTTTGTTCTCATTGCTTTTAGGGCTTTTTTTCCCCTGTAGTTTTTCTTAACTTTGGGCATCTTTTAAGACAAATTTTAGCTTACTTTCTCCAAATGTAACACTATCTTCTAGATCTTACCTCTCAGATAACAAACAGTCTTTTATTTTCGTTAATTGAATTTGTGGTGTACATCTAGTCATTCGACAGAAATATGGTTAAATACTCTGAAACAGATAAGAGTGATTAAATGCAAAGCATCTTTTAATGCAATCTGAGGTTTTTCTTAGTGCTTATAGGCTGAATTTATGAACTCCCCTGAACTTCTGTGTATTGTCTCTAATTTTATAAGTATTATGGGGAGCAGAATCAAACTCGGAAACAACAGGGTCTTCAGATCTGTAAAAAGGCAAAAAAAGGGCAAAGTAAATGTAAAAGAGCAAATTATTAGCTAATTTCTAACTGTGGAATTCAAATAAATGTGTAGTACTGTGGCATTCTATGAGCAACTGAGCAAATACTTTGCTTGTACAAACAGCAAACCTACAGTTTTGTCCTCAGGGAAGTTCTGAGCGTGTTTGTGATCTGAAGTCACTCACTGAGCTGTAATACTTTTATATACTTTTTCATCTGTTTTAATGGAGAGAGGAGAGGTTAACTTTTGCATGTTGAAAGGATTTTGAAGAGACAGCTTTGGCATCAGAAAATCTCACTGCTGAGAGCAACAGAGGCTTTGTTTTTCTCTTGCCAGAAGAAGAAGCAAGTACACTTAATCACTGTCTTTTTTCAAGGATTTATGATAGTTACCATTGCTTTTCTGCTTGGAAACTTCATGCTATAATAATTTATACAAATATTAATACTGTTATCTCAAAACCCCATACTTAGTTATTAAAATATTTATTGTCAGGTCTTTGAAATGTTGAGTGTAAAGATATTTACCATTCTGGCTCTCATAAATGTATATCTTTAAAGTTCAGTTTTTGATTGACATGCAGCAACAGAAGCTCATGCCTGACATAAGTCTGGTTTCCAGTTGTTTCCCTGTCTGCACAGTGTGCCTGAAATTCCAAGCTCAGCATTGCATTAGTATTCCACCCCAGCAGCAGTAAGGGACTGTTACGAGTATGAGGTAATCCACCTTGAGTGCTCTTGACATAGAATAGTGCAATTAAGAATCCAGTATGGCCTAGGAGAAGTCTAGATGTGAACTTTTAAACAAGTTATAGCGGCAGGCTCAGCTTTTTATTGAAAATTCTTTTAAGAGTATTTAGCTGAGCTGTTTGTCTACATGACATTATGTAAGGAGAGCCTAGTTTGGCTTGTTGACTGCCTTACTGCTTGTAATTGGAAGGATAAGCTCTTAAATCTCTTATTTGAGTACTTATGTCTTTGAATTTTGTCAGTCATCAAACTGGACAGCTCTTTCTCAAGTAATTATTAAAGTGAAAGATACTTGTCTGAGGTTTAGAGTAGCTGAGCTAATAACTTCTCTGCATGAATAGCTACAAAATGAAAGTCCAGTTCAAATACCTGATGACAAATGGAAGCACTAGGTAGATTTTAAGGTGTTAAGCTTTCACTGGAACTGCTCAGTAAGAAAGTACAAGATATGTATCTTAGCTTTGCTAAGAGTTTTGTCGGGCAGTGTTTCCAGTCACTTCACATCAGATAGCTTGACATCATGATCAGAATCAAGAAAATCTTACATGCATTTGTAACGTTTGTCTCCATACGTCTCCAACCCACGAAGGGTAAAGTGAGTTGTTTGGTTTGAGTTTTTTCTCTCATCTGCATGTAGCATCCTGGTTAATA